AGTTATAAATTATACTGAAGTGAAATTATTGGTACTGTGTAAAAATCTTACTCTATTAAAAGTGGAAGAATGAAGCCAAAATATACTTTAGATATACACTGAAACATAGACAAGTGTATAAATGTAAAAACAAAATGTTTTAACAGGTAAAATAAAGAGGCTGGATATTTTGAGTGTGACGTGGTGATGAGTGATGTGACAATTATTTGACAGTACTGGTCCTTATGCAAAGATGACTTAGTATAGTAGTAGCGCATTGTATACTAATTGAATTTTGTAGGGTGTTTAATTTTAAGTAATACTTAAATGGAGGAACAAAGTACAATTCCATCCCTGGTATGAATCTGCTATGTCTGTAGTTTTCATATGTCTGACAGTAAGGCGTCCAGAGTGAATGACCTTATGTAACTGCCCAAACATGGAGCTTCTTCAATAATATTAACCCTGCTCAAACTTCACAGAAATAATAAAAAAAAAAATCACTGTTAATAGACACAGCCTTGCTCCGTGTTGTTATTGTTATTGAGTACTGCGCCTGTTGTATAACACTGACACTATGACATTCCAATTCATGCTATCTGTTGTAATTTATCCCATGTAAATCTGCCAGTCAGATCTCTTATAAATTACATTACTGAATCTCATGTGTTAGTAGACAAGACAAAACATGAGTTTCAGGAGTAGGTACAGTAGCAAGTGAAAGTATTTGTCTGGTAGGGTTGACTGCTTATTTTCTCTCTCTCTCTCTCTCTCTCTCTCTCTCTCTCTCTCTCTCTGTCTCTCTCTTATACACACATATTCACTTGCTTGTTACAAAGCCACAAATCTAATTCCATCTTGAGTGGTTGCTCAGCAACCCAATCATAAGGGCCCAGTTTCCCAAAAGATCATCATATCAGACTTATCTGATACAAAGAGCTTCCAAAGTCATCTTCTAATTACCATCTTACAGTTTGTCTTTGGGCTAGAATGTTTCTGAGAATCCAGGCCTTATTCAGACAGGCTGCCGGTAGCTTCTTCCTGCATTAACACACACACATTACAGCAATTTCATCTCCTCTCTACATATTACATTTGCACAGAAAAACAGAATTATTTTATAAAAGAAATGTTACATTTAAGAAAGTGAAATGTAATAGTCACTGAGTAAAGATTAAAGATGAAGGAAAAAGATAGAGGAACACAGATAGAATGAGAGAATGAGAGAAAGAAAGAGAGAGAGAGTAATAGAGAGAGAGAGAGAGAGAGACCTTTGCCAACATGTTGACTTGCATAACCATGAGCAGCGCTCAGTGAAGCTGAGGCTGAGGTTGCTAAGCAACCGCATCCATGCAGCAGCTGCATTGCGACATAGAGTTGGGAATATTCTGTCTGAAGTTGACCGTTTCCCCACCCACTAACCCCTCGTGACATTTAATTAGAAAGGTGCGTCTCTGCACTGAACAAAGCTGAACTGATAGCTAGGTCACCTTTAAATCGTCTCTATGATCTCAGATTCCAAAAGGTTTTGACGGTGAGCAAACCTGCATGAGATAAACACAATCACACACATACAAACACATACACACAGTCTACATCTGATGCACCAGGCTGTCTAGATTGTGATATGCTGACTCACTCCTTGTTTGAAGAAGTCACGTGGGTGGAGAAGTGCAGAAGATGGGAGAGAGCGAGGCGAGGCTGTTTCAGGGGCTGCAGGAAATCTGCAAACTGTAGGCCAAACTGTTCTGAGGGTACGTTGCAGTTATAAAATTCATGTTTTATAATGCTTATACCCAACTTGGCAAAATGACACCCACCCTTGGCATCAAAGCAAACATCCTGAAGCTCCCATCAGCAAAGCTATCCAACACTATCTGCAGTCAAAAGATTGAGCAATGAGTTGTGTCTTGACTGTCTTGTTAGGCTGCACTGGCACCTGCTGGTCATAAAGAGAAACACCAGTCCAGTGATATGGTGCAAACCAGTTAAACAACACACCAGTTGGATGTACAGCAATGTCATTAGTGTGCAGTCAAAACGCTCGTGCACAACAATGTGTCTTACAGGTAGGGCCTGATTCCTCAGTAAAACATTTCTTATATAAATGAAGTAAAGCTCGTCCTGCAAGCTACTGAAAAGACACTACTGTAACTACATAGTGCATTGTCTAAGTGCAAGTATGAGTCAGGATATCAGTCATTTGAGAAAGTCAGCTAAATCTGGATGTAAGGCCTGAACAAGATGAATAAAATGCAATGAAAGACATCCAGCCTGCTACAAGAGTTCTAGAGTTCTAGATATGCATCAATCACTATCACAGATTTATATATGGACTATTTTACCAAACTAGTTTAATCTGTTGTCCCACAGTAAAAACCCTTTATTAAAAAACAATTTTATTTTTTAAAACTGCTTTATTTCTCTGAAAACACACTTTCTGAATGGCTGAAACAGGTCTGTTCAGCTTGTTAGACAGAACATTCTGTCCAGAAGGTCACCGCCCCTGTTGAATAGAGTTTTTTCACTTTGAAATACCTGGAGCCTTTTACTGCGATGACCAGAAAGCTGCCCTCACCTCACTGACATGACTTCACTTGGAGTCCTGCTGCTTTTTTTGCTCTCCTTTGTTCGATCACTTCATGCTTGTGAGTAGCCTGTTAAAATTAATTTGCATTATATGTAATAAAATGGTTAACATTTATAGTAGTCTATGCCCTATGTGACTGCTAAAGGTCAGTGATTTTTAGTAGCTGCACCTTGGATCAGTTCTATTTGTTTATAAAGCATTAATTCTAGTAGAGAATATAGAATGTAGTGGTTTTGTTAGTGAAAAGACTTGGTTAAGAGGTTCTGTCATATATTTACATGCCTCTAATTTGTGTCATTTAATGCTTTAGGCTCATGTGCATCTCTAAACTGGGCCACTTGTGACGAATCTTCATGTGAATGTTATATCAACGTTGGTGAACGGCAAAGACAAATTCTGAATTGCTCTACGAGTACATGTAAATGTTTATTGGAAGTAGGATTTGTCTATGGAAATATTTACACTGCTCAATTTATAACATATAACAGAGGCTTGTATATTTTTGAACTTCTCTAACTTTGGCTGACCTTTTCAACTCTTTTTCTCCTCTTTGTCAGTGATTCCAAAATGCTTTCTGATGAAGGCAGCGATGTACCGCCTTAAACATCCTTCATCCTCACAGAATAAGCCCACAGAAACAGCGCTGGCCGATGAGCTTTATGATCCGGAGTGTGAGCCCAGTGGGCTTTTCAAGGCTAAGCAGTGCAATAACACAGATGTCTGCTGGTGTGTTGACAGTGCTGGAGTGCGCCGCTCTGACAAGGGCGACAGAAACCTGAAGTGTGAGGAGCTGGTGGAGACAAAGTAGGTTTGATAACGTCCAAAATAATAGCATAAAATTATTTAACTGAAATGCTCAACATATTTAAATGTGTGCTTTTTCTCAACTGGGTGCCTGTCCAGTTGAAACACAAAAACATCAGCAGGGCCTACAAAGGTGAAGGTCTCTTGTGACTTTGTAAAAGTTTTAATGTACTGTGGCTTTTTCTCATGTACTGTTAATAATGAACAAATACCAAGACGTTCTAGTAATTGGAACATGGTTACTTATTTACAGTGCTATTGCCAGTGTCATTCAGGAACAGTACAAAACAGACCAACAACTGGATAGCAAAATTAAGGTCAAGGTAAAGACTGATTTTTGAAAAATATTATTAGTCATATTAATATTAATATTATAAGTCAATTATCAATTCAAATAGTTACAATATCAAAAAATGCATTTAAAATGATGGTATAGTGCTTTTAATCCAGTTAACATACAGCTAGTCAAGATATATTATATACATTACCATTCAAAAGTTTGAAATCACTTTCCACATTAAGTTTTCTATTGATTTATACACAGTAATAATTTGTACAATGTGGATTTAAATATTACAAACTATTCTTAACTATTACAAACTATATTGTCAATTAAGAATCTGTCTTGTCAAGTAAAAACTTTGGATATTAATTTAGTTATAACTTAATTCTCATTTTAGAGTCATCTACAGCAGTCAACATTCTGGACACATCTAAAATTTTCTTTTTTATTTACAGATTTTCTAATTATTTAAACCTGTGTGCCCAGTAGTAACATAATATAATCATTTACTATGATCATACACTTATTTCTGCATTAAACTATTGAACATAAAACATTGAACTATTGAACTACTGAAAAGTGATTCCAAACATTTGAATGGTAGTGCAGTAAATGCAGTGAGTACAGATACAAAAAGAATACAAAAATAGTGTAGAGCTTTTCTCCTGGTAGCCCTTTACATTATTACACATACACATAACTCACGTTGTTTTCCTGTAGTATAATGTTGATGCCCGCCTCATCATTCTGGATGTGAAAGATGACGCTGGTGATTGGGATCAGGATCTGTCTGAATTGGCCTACTACATGGAGGAAGACGTGAGAGCACATTCTTTTAGACATTTGAGTGTAATCAGAGGTGGGCAGTGTAACATAAACCCTTGCTCAAGTAAAAGTATTGTTCCTTCTGTAAAATAATGACTTACATAAAAATTAGACCCTTAAAATTGCAGGCATTGTTTAAATTACAAACTAAGGCTTATTATTCAGTAACTACTGGGACTTCAGTGCAAACTGGTCGAGCTATTGTTTGGTAACAGAGGTGTGTAAGAAAACTTTGGGCCTGTCGTGAGCCATTTAAGTGGTTAAAATCTATCCATATTACAGCTTGAGCAGAAAAATGAGCAGGTTTAAAAACTACTCAAGAGGGGAATTCCACTGATTTGTCAATATCAATATTTGGTGGTGATTGGTCTCAGGGGTCACAGTGTGTACAATGCAAATATAGCCATGTGTTTTCTGAGTGTTTATATGTAATGTTGATAGTAGTGAAATAGCAGTAAATCTGACAACAAAAATAAATTTTCTTTGGCATCTATTTTACCTAACAGTGCCCTATATGTACCACTCTGCCATGAATGAATTTTAAAAAATGCATTTAAAGCCAAACAGCTTATCTTAAAACTATAATAAAATAATGTCCCAGGTATCAGGCTGCATAATTACATGTAATCATTTTCACTGAGGGAGCTTTTAGAGGCATTAAGTGCCTCAGTCATCTAATTTCTGTCACCACCATTCTGCATCCTGTTATGAACAAAATAGCATAATACTACCCACCTCTGGCACCGATATATTAATTTGTAGTTTATTGTTATTTAGCCACCGATAACTGCTTTCATTATTTTATCCTAAGGTTAAGGTTCAGCCACTCCTTGATGACCAAATGAAGTTGGAACCAACAGTCGTAGACCAACAGATGGAGATGGAGAATGTTCTGGTGTACTATAAGGGAGAGAAGGCACCCACCGGTGACATGCGGAGGCTCACTGTTGGCATTCTCACTGTCACTGTTGTGATCATCCTGACAATTCTTGTTGGGCTTCTCATTCTGGTCAGTCACCTTGTAAGACAGATTTCTATTGAAATCTATTTTTCTGCAGTGTACCGTATTATTCTGTGCTGACAATGTGCAAAAGTCTTAGGCACCTAATTATTTAAAACCAGTTATCTCAGCAGTATGCGTGCTTCTGCTTGTAAAAACACTATAAGGATCATTCTACCGAACTGGTTTAAAGTCAGAGTTAAAAACACATTTCAGACGTTTAACTGACTTGAACTTTAGACTAAAATCCTTTTGCTTTGAGTGACCCTATACTTTACTTATGTGTATTTTATTACATTAATGAGCATTTCACTTTGTCAGTAACAAAACAATCAAAACACTACTAAAACATACCAAATGTTTCTGTAGTGACTGTTTCAGTCATGAAAATTTTGGCTAATTTTGAGCATAATTCAAAATGCTGGTACATGACTAGCAAACACTGCCTTGAACATTCACACACAGCTTTTTCATTGAAACACAACAAAATAGTTTACAGAAAATATGTGTTTTGGTAATGACAATTCTTATGGATATACACCGAAATGAAAACGTGGGACAGCATTTTTTTAAATAATTTTTTATTTAAAAATTTAAATTGTGATAAATATAATCTCTTTCAACTTCACTTTAAAAGAAATGATTAAGTTTATTAGGTATTATTTTTACATGATGTAGGGGTTAGGGTTTGGGACAGCCACTTCCCAATCAAAAGTACCCTATAAATGATGAGTTTTGTATATATTTAGTTTATTACTATCTCAGTTAATGCATTGGGCTTAAATAGATCATAAGATAATTCTTATAAATATAAATATCTAAGGTCTAAATACGTAGTACTGTGGGACATCGATTTGAACAAATTCAGTTGTCCATTTTATCAGCTCCACTTACCATATAGGTGCACTTTGTAGTTCTACAGTTACAGACTGTAGTCTGTCTGTTTCTCTGCATACTTTGTTTGCCCCCTTTTACCCTGTTCTTTAGTGGTCAGGACCCCATGGACCCTCACAGAGCAGGGACTATTTGGGTGATGGATCGTTTTCAGCACTGCAGTAACACTGACATGGTGGTGGTGTGTTAGTGTGTGTTGTGCTGGTACGAGTGGATCAGACACAGCAGTGCTGCTGGAGTTTTTAAACACTATGTCCACTTCTTAACCACTCTATTAGACATTTCTACTTTGTCAGTCCACCTTGTACAAGTCAGAGACAGTAGCTCATCTGCTGCTGCACAGTTTGTGTTGGTCATCCTCTAGTCCTTCATCAGTGGTCACAGGACGCTGCCCACAGGACACTGTTGGCTGGATATTTTTGGTTGGTGAACTATTCTCAGTCCAGCAGTGACAGTGAGGTGTTTAAAAACTCCAGCAGCACTGCTGTGTCTGATCCACTCATACCAGCACAACACACTAACACACCACCACCACATCAGTGTTACTGCAGTGCTGAGAATGATCCACCACCCAAATAGTACCTGCTCTGTGAGGGTCCATGGGGGGTCCTGACCACTAAAGAACAGGGTAAAAGGGGGCTAACAAAGTATGCAGAGAAACAGATGGACTACAGTCTGTAACTGTAGAACTACAAGGTGCTACTATATAGTAAGTGGAGCTGATAAAATGGACAATGAGCGTAGAAACAAGGAGGTGGTCATAATGTTATGTCTGATCAGTGTATGTGATCAGTTTCACACAAATAAAATATCACCACAATTATTGCCAAATGTAAGTAAACTGAAAGACAAAACTGTTTTGATGTAATGTATTTCATTCATATGGAAATGATGCTCACATTTGAATCAGGTGCATTCAGCGCATCACTTTTTCAGTGATGCTAACTTAGTTACAGAGATGTAAATTGTGTATGGAATTCTCTCCTCCTTCAGTTCCTGATCAGAAGACAGAAGCAAGGCAAATATGAAAAGGCTCAGGTGGGTTTACTGATGACACTATTTTTAGATGCACTGTCTCTCTAGTGATTTCAAATTCATCAGATCTGACAAAACTAAACTGGAATTTTACTGAATTTGTTCCAAGTTGTCAGAGCCGATTGATAAAATGTTCAAAACTCAGTGTTTGTGTCACTGAATAAGAGTCAGGTTGACATATCAAGTTCAAGATAAGCATGTCTTTAACTTTTCATTTTTTTTTTCCAGACAAGTGAAATAGAGGAAATTTAGACTTTTAGTTGAACTTCAGCTCTGTGAAATATGGAGAAAGCTGGATGGAATATGGAGAAAAAACATCTGACAACGCATTTAAACTGTCTGTGTGTTTATATTTACACTACTTTGCATCATGAAAGAGTTCTTCAGAAAGGAACAGGGTGCTATATAGCACCAAAAAGTATTCCTCTATTGTTATGATGTCAAGCTTGTAACAATAGAAGAACCCTTTTTGGTGCTATATAGAACCCTTTTCAAAAGGGTGCAATATAGAACCCTCTAAAGCACATTCTCCAATAATCTGAAGAAGGCTTTCATGACTTTAATCATGCAAAGGGTTCTTTGAGTGTTGATGCTTCTGTACAGAACCATTTTCTTTACTAAAGAACCCTTGGAGAACCATCCTTTTTAAATGTGAGCATTATTCAATACTGAGATAAGTTGTAGATTGTAGATTTCTATAATTTTAAGAGGAAATGGTCTTTTGATGAAAACCTTTTCAACAATAGTTCTAACCTTATTCTAAACCATCAAGGTTTTATCAAGCTTGTAATGAAATGACCTACACTTACTTTGACCTACTACATACTGATTTGAATGAAATAAAGCAGGCACTTGCACAGAGAATTATGCATTAATAAAGGTTAATACAAGTGTCACTGGTTAGTCTGTAGTACTACTGTAAACAGATGGTTGTCTTAAAAAAATAGCACTAGGCTGCAACATTAAACATGACAGCACAACCATCATATACCGTACAATGCTGTTTCCAAAAATGTATTTGTTTTATGATTTACAAATACACATGTAATTTATGATGGCAAAACATAGCATACTTACATACATACATACATAGTACACAGAACATTTTCCTGAGAATACTCTAAATTAATTTATTAGAAAAGATCAGTAGTTTGATTTCTGTATTACTATTGTTATAAGTATTATTGCTGGGTAGTAATAAAATTAAGAGTATTTTACCTGCTTCTGTTCTATTTTTTACTTTTACAGATAATTGTTCAGGTCCAGAATTTAGAATTACGATGCCAGTCATTTTCAGCAAAAGGTCCTGCATCTCTTATTTAAACTAAACATATCCTAAATGCAGTGGAGCCTTAATTTATGGTTCATAGAACACATAGTCACAAAAGAGTTGGCTACAATAGATGCCTTATTAAAGGCATGGGCAAAAAGAGCCTTTGCCTTTCATGAAATCTAAATGTATCTATGGTCAATGTTGTAACAGATTAAATACAGTCTAACATATTTTGAATAAAGGAATATTAGGTTGTCACATATCACTGTTGTCGGAGCAAAACCTCATTGTCCAAAATGATAACTTTACAGAAGAAGGAAAAAACATACTTTAATTTTACTGTAAGTCAATGGAACCAGAGATTTTTCCACATAATTTTGGGCCATTTACACACAATGTAAAGGGGAACATGCATTTTCAAATTATGTCGAAAACGACAAAAAAGAAGATACAAGGCTGCGCTCCGACAGCAGCGATATACTCACCAAGCACTTTATTAGAAACGCTATATAGGGTAGGGTCTCCCATTGCTCTCAAAACATCCTCAGTTCTTTGTGGCATGGATTCCACAAGATATCCTTTAAGGTTCTGGTCCATGTTGACATGATTGCACCACTTCCTACAGTTTTTTCAGGTGCACATTTATGCTGTAAATCTCCCATTCTACCACATCCCAAAGGTGTTTTACTGGATTCAGTTCCGGTGACTGAGAAGGCCACTAAAGAACACTGAACTCTTGAACTTGTCCTGCTCATGAAACCTATTTGAGACGACTTTTGCTTTGTGACATGGCGCATTATCATGCTGGAAGCAGCCATTCGAAGATGGATAAATTGTGGCCATGAAGGAATGCACATGGTCAGCAACAATACTCAAATAGACAGTGGCATTAAACAATGTTTGATTGGTTTTAACTGACCCAAAATGTGCCAAGAAAACATCCCCCACCCTAATATACCACCTCCACCAGCCTGGACTGGTGACACAAGGTAGAATGGCTGCCTTAGATAATGGACACACTTCTGGTTAGGGTGGAGTCCAGGTCTTAAAAGACTAGCATGTTTGTGAGAACAATTACACACTATAGAAAAAATAGACCCGGTCAGCCTTGAGGGCAGCGGATGGAAGAAGAAGACAGATGCACAACTGAGGACAGCCACAACGCAACTCAAAATAATATAACGCATTGTTCACTTGAAGCAAGCCATTTCAATACAGCACCAGTACGGACCGGATTGTACTCCGAAACTACATGTTAACTATGTATCTTGTGTATTTATTTATTTATTGTATTTTACCTTGTGCGTTTAGATTTTTTTGCTGCTGTTAATTTACCCATTTAGTGTTCTGGTGATGTGTGTTGTCATTGTTATGAATAACTGCATTAATTTAAGTTAATAAAAAATAAATAAGGTCCTATTACTCGAGTTTAATAAATAAACTTTAGATGATGCTGTGCTAAAATTCCCATACTGGTACCCTAAACAATAACAAAAAAATAAACTATTTTGTAAAATAACGCTAAATATAAATTTACAGATTGTTATGGCAGAAAATCCAGGTGAAAAATCCAGGTGGCTTTTTTCTTTTTCAAACCAGCCGGAAAAAAGCTCGCTCCCTGGACATTTTATCCTTGAGGCCTAATGCCTAATTCCCTCTGTTGGAGAACTGAGGTTTCGGATTGAAACTACGGTCTGACCTGCAAAAGAGCTTTTTTAGATATAGCATGGATTTTGTCGGATAAACTACAAGTGTTAACAAAATACGAGCGCGCGTATGAATGTGTTTCCGGCTGAAAACCTCGAGTTTAGTGTTGTAACGCCGCTGTAAAACAGCTCACGGTTGATCTGTCCTGTAGGGGGCGCCGTTCAGGGCGCCGAGAAGCTCTGAAAGAAGAACAGAGAAAGCGGGAAGCCCGAGAAGCCCCGCCCCCTCACTGAGTCGGTGGCGGGAGATTCCAGCATGGCGGTGCAGCCGAAGCAGAACTTGTCTATGGACAGCGCGTCGGAAAGCGGCTTTATTAACTTCTTCTTTTCTATGCCTGAGAAACCAGACACTACAGTCAGAGTGTTCGATCGCAGTGATTACTACACCGTGCACGGAAAAGATGCTCTTTTTGCCGCGAAAGAAGTCTTCAAGACGAATGGAGTCATCAAAAACCTCGGCTCAGGTAACGTTAGCTCAGTGCCTCAGCAGCTTCATCTGGGTACTAGACAGGTGTGCTGTGCAGACTGAACAGGTCAAATAGTATCCCAAATCATTTTACAGCACTCTCACATTGTTTGTTTTTACAGCTTTGCAGGATTTGCTAAAACAGCTGGCTAACTAGCATCGGGCGGCTAGCTCTTTTTAGCTCTCACATTAGTGGTGTCTCAAAGCGACCCCCTGGTTCTGTAAGCAGATCTAGTTAACTTAGCTGGGTAACAGCAGTTTCAGCGCAGTTCTGGGTAACGAACGTCGGATAGCGTTCTTAAGTGGGCTAGATCGTGTTATTGGAACACGTTTGTTCTCTAAAGTATATTTTGAGTTACATTGTGAAATCGTGTTTATGGCACATACGTTCAGTTCTATAAGGGGTGCAGCCCAGAAAATGGCTGGTTTCCTCAATACTGTATTGTATACACTGAGAAAGAAACGCACATTTCAGACTACAGCCGTTGTCACTGAGGTGGAACGCTGAAGGCTAACTACGTCCTTAGTACTTGTAGTAAGGTCGCATGATTTGCATAATAGTTAGGTTGCAGTTGTCTTTAGTTTATAGTTAGAGCTGGGCGATATGTCAAACATAATATCACGAAACTGCAATAAGTTTTCGCGATACTTCCACTATATATAGTACTGAAAGTATCCACTAAAAGCTCTGAAAAGCACATTGTTACATGTTGTGATGTAATTTATCACCATAACGATAAATATTGTCATATTGCTCAGTTTAGTTATATTTTTATTGCTGTTATATGTGGAGTTGACCTGACTTCAAATACCCTGTCTTGATGCCAGATTATTTTGTCCAGTAATTTGTTTTTTGTAGTTAAAAATGTTATATGACTTAAAATGCTTACATAGGAATTACATACACTAGATAACGTTTTACAAGCAGGGCTTTGATTCTGTAACAGTTGTTAAGTGCTGAGTTTTCAGTAGTTTAGTGTAATTTCATTATACTTATGCTTCAGTTGTTTGTTTTTGTTTTTATTTGTTGTTTCTTCTTGTCAGTATGTGACATTCTTGCAGGTACATTTTTAATGCTCTACTGTTATCATTTTACTTTGGTTGTCCTGAAATGCAGGCAGCAGGAGGCTGGAGAGTGTGGTCCTCAGTAAAATGAACTTTGAGTCTTTTGTGAGGGACTTGCTGCTGGTCAGGCAGTACCGTGTGGAAGTGTACAAGAATAAGTCAGGCGGCAAGAGCAGCAAAGATCATGACTGGCAAATAGCCTTCAAGGTACTGTAATCTAATACAGATGGTTGTCCAACTTTTTCACAAGCCTTTCATTTTAGTTTAGTTGTGCACACCTTTTGTACGTGGTTTGAATAGTAATTTTACTTGATTCTGCTTCCTCATAGGCCTCTCCGGGGAACTTGACCCAGTTTGAGGAGATTCTGTTTGGTGGAGGAGGCCTGGGGGAAGGGGCTGCTGGAGTGGTGGGAATACGTCTGGGCACAGGAGGCGATGGACAGCGTGTTGTGGGTGTTGGATATGTTGACAGTACACTCAGGAAAATGGGTGTCTGTGAGTTTCCAGATAATGACCAGTTCTCCAATCTGGAAGCTCTCCTGGTGCAGATTGGTCCCAAGGAGTGTGTGCTTCCTGGGGGCGATGTGGCTGGAGATGTTGGTAAACTTAGACAGGTAAAAACTGACGGCTGTTGCTGATGGGCCACATGGTGCTTCACTGTTCTTCTTGATGATGTGATCATGACTTGTTCCTGTTTTTGCTTGTGCTTTTTTGTTCATTCTTGCTTCAGGTGATACAGCGTGGAGGCATTCTTCTTTCAGACAGGAAGAAGGCAGAGTTTACAACCAAAGACATAGTTCAGGATCTGAACCGCTTGCTGAAGGCTCGCAAGGGAGAGACAGTGTCAAGTGCTGCGCTTCCAGAGATGGAGAAACAGGTTAGTGGATCTAAGATGGTGTTTAAAAGAACAAGCACACCATTCATTTTAATACCTAAATGCACTTTTCCACTGCGCAGTGTGGTAGGGCCTGGTTACAAATCCGTAATCATATGTTTTGTCCTTATTTCTATTGCCCTGTGAACCATACTGTATCTGAGTATCCGAGCTGACTGTGGTTAACTTTCTAACTGTCTTGAGGACAAAGCATATAGAATGTATGAGTGGAGCTAAAAATAGTTTAGACCATTGGATTAGTCAGGCAACATTGTCATAGGGATTTTGCTGCGAACATACACCAGCATGTTCAAATGGTATCTGATTATTATTATTAATGATAAGAAAATAAATATTAGTTGTTTGTATTAAATCAACATCATCCTGACCCCCATAATTGCCTGCAGCTTACATCATTTAGAGATATATGTTAGAAATACAGCAGAAAAGAAAAGCTTTTGATTAATGCTTTTTTTCCCCAGATTGCCATGTCCTGTTTGGCAGCTGTCATCAAATATCTGGAGCTGCTTTCTGATGAGGCCAACTTCGGTTCCTTCAAGATGACCACGTTTGACCTTAACCAGTACATGCGTTTGGACAATGCTGCTGTGCAGGCTCTTAACCTCTTTCAGGTCAGAGGTCATGAAGCTTGTTAATGTCTTAATAATGAATAAAAGTACTGTAAGTGGTACTTAAGGGCTAATTGTCTAATCAGTTCCTTTGTAGCTCATTTATCAATGCAGCTTAATGTAACTCGTAAATATTCATTTTATATACAATTAAGTCTCTTCAAAATGTATTATTTATTGATTTTTCAATAGATTTTCTATAGTCATTTTCATGGCATTTTTTTATTTATTATCTTTAGTAGTGCATCTTTCTCACTGATAAAGGATTATCTAATGTGTCTTTTTCCCCTTAGGGTTCATCTGATGATCCATCTGGTACTCATTCCCTGGCAGGGCTTTTGAACAAGTGTCGAACTCCTCAAGGCCAACGACTGGTCAACCAGTGGCTCAAACAGCCTCTGATAGACAAAAACAAGATTGAGGAAAGGTGAAGGCAATAAAAATACACTGTGTATAATTTACAAGTTATCTGTTCTTAACATTTTTACAGATGTGTGCAAACTGCTATTTGTTAGTAATTACAGAAGCAAAACACAGTAAAGGTATGATTGAGCAAAAAATTGAATTTGCGCAATTTAGATCCATAAAAATGATTTAAAACATAATTATGTAGCTGAACACTGTTGTACCACATTCTGATTCCTCTTTGCAGGCACACATGTACCACTGGCATATAGACTCTAGTTCTATTTATAAACATAAATCTTTGATTTGAAAATCTAAGAGTGACAGTAATTTATAAATACAAACAACCAAAATCCCAAGCGTGATCTGTGGTCTCTGTATGCCTGTGTGATGTGTGCATGCGATGGGAGTTTGGAACAGCACCTGTTTTCTAAATGGCTGCCCCAGCTTTCAACTACATGATGCAAAACTACACATTTTGTTCATTTTAACACTGTTCTAAACCATCGACAAGTCTGTTTGATCATAATGAAAACCTGGAAGTGGTTAGAGTGGGTTAAGAGAAGTTTCAGGAATGTGTTTACAGAAATGATTCGAGTGATTTTTGACTTCTGGTGTTTGTTAGCAGTGGGCCTCGTTCACCAACCGTTCTTAAGAAGATTTTATTTTTTTTTCTTAAAACCCTTATTATTTGGATTTGTTCTTGGGTAAGAACAGCATCTATGCACACTCAAGAGCACAAAGGTGTTTTGTGGTTGAAAAACACATCATGAATCTGTTGTAGAGTTTTTCTTAGGACCTTTCTCAAGAACAAATTAAGAAAAAAACTTTGTTTTCTTGGTGAATGAGGCCCTATAGTGGCCTCCTAGCTCCTATGCTAAACTAAAGAGAGAAAATTCAGGCTCCAGATATGTCTTAACTGATTGAGTATGTCAATATGTAAGGTTTAATATGATTTATATTTCTGAGAAACGTGAAATGCCATAATAACCCAGAAAAAACATTATCCCCTTTAAATGCCCTTTGAAGATGTCACCATATTGTGCTCATGTTAAGTCATTTGACAAACCGCTGTGTCATGAGTTTCAGTGTGACCAACTAGAATTCTAGGTACACTGTGTGCTGCCTTTATGATGAAGGTGAAAAACATCCCTAACCTAATGCTGTCAATTATGAGCTGTTCGTCAGTGCTCTGTTGTTGTTTAGCTCATTACCCCCACCTTGTGTTCAGAATTAGATTTGCATCCCACAGACATACAGAATTGCTCATAAAAATAAGTAAAATGTCTCCTTGTCTGTTCTCGAAAACGTATCTCTTTAGTTTTTACTTAATAAACCATTATGAATTCTCTGCCTCAGGAAGACCCTGCACCTTGTTATATAAGGTGAGAGCTATGGATGTGTGACTGCTCTGCACGAACAAAGAAAGAATTAAGCCAGTCTTCCCGCTTGTTTGCATTCTGTGGCATCTCAGAGACTGAACTCAGTAGTTGCATCTCACACCAATCTAGGTTATTTGTCCTTGTCAAATTGGAATGAGCAGTAACTTAACTGCTAATCCAAATATTAAACATACATTATTCAGGTGAAAAAGTGTAGAATATCATCAAACATATAGTGGAAGTACAATCATTACCACTATTATCTATTTGTGTGTTTCAGGCTAGATCTTGTGGAGAGTTTTGTAGAGGATTCAGAGCTGAGACAGAGCTGTCAGGAGGACCTGTTGCGGCGCTTCCCTGACCTGAACCGTCTGGCTAAGAAGCTCCAGAGGCAGAGTGCCAATTTGCAGGACTGTTACCGGGTCTACCAGGCTGTGGGCCAGCTGCCGGGTCTTGTACTGGCCCTGGAGAGGCACACTGGTAAAAGAGCACATTTGTTAAATCCATTGTCTAATTCTGTGAATCGTACTGTAGGTGTCTTTGATTATGTTAATATTCTGTCCCCTTTGTTTACATTCGAGGGTCTTATAATCTAGACTTTTGATGTATTGCTTTGGAAAATTGAGACTTGCAGTGTGCTCATACAAATGTAAGAAAATATTAAACAATACAAATAATGTTATTGTCAATGGCTGCAGTAGTTTGTTTAACCACACTATAGGTTTGAATAAGCCCCCATTAACCTTGCTCATTGTGACAGAACAGTGTTTGTCTATTATTAAATTACCACTGCACAGGCTATGCCAGGTAAGTTGGGAAATGCCAATGAACAGCAGTTTTGAGACACTGCTGCATTTGTATACCTTGGGGTTAAGGTTGGGACTCTGGGTCACTGATTTTCTTTTATCTCATAAATATAAAGGAGAAGGCTAGGGTATTTTTCACAACATTTTAGCCAACAATGAGTTGTTAATCACCATAACTCTAACTTGAATAAAATATTTTGAAGTGCATACGCATTTACGCTTTTATTAAAATACTTTTATTAAAATAATGGTTACCACATAACCATAACCACATACATTTATGCTTCCTCTTCCACCACTGACAGGGAAACATCAAGTCCTATTGAATGCAGCGTTCATTTCACCCTTTAACGACCTCATCTCAGACTTCTGCAAGTTTCAGGAGATGATTGAAACTACACTGGATATGAACCAGGTGAGCCAGTGGGGGGTTGCATCCTTACTGTCTTGTCCGTTGTATACATCTCAAAGTCATTCGATTAATGCCTTGTTCGTCCCTTGACAGATTGAGCACCATGAATTTCTGGTCAAACCCTCTTTCGACCCCACACTGAGTGAACTGAGGGAAAACATGGACCAGCTGGAGAAAAACATGCAGGCAGCTCTGAACAGTGCAGCTCGTGAGCTTGGTAAGAATGACCTCTTATCTTTTAAGCTTCCCTGTTTAAGTTTTTTATACTGCTGGATTTACTTGCCTACATAATGGTCTTTTTCCCCTTCATGTCTTTTCTTTGACTGTGCTGCAGGTCTGGATGCAGGCAAGACAGTGAAGCTGGAATCCAATGCACAGATGGGTTACTACTTCCGTGTCACCTGCAAAGAGGAGAAAAACCTGCGCAACAATAAGAAGTTCACAACTCTGGACGTGCAGAAGAACGGAGTGCGCTTCACCAATAGGTGAGAAGTGTATCTAGTTTTGTAATATGTGCAGTAATTCTTTGTACTGTGGCAGGAGAAACTGTACTTTTTTTTTCCCCTTATCAGCTTGTCATATAGACCCCTTAGTATGTGATAAATTGATCATGTTATTGATTGTGCCTTATAGTAAGCTGAGCTCTATGAATGAGGAGTACATCAAAAACAGGGAGGAGTATGAGGAGGCTCAGAACGCCATCGTTAAAGAAATTATCAGCATTGCTGCTGGTGAGGAGCATGTCTACCTTTACTACAGACCTTGTAGTAATACAGTTGTTGGCAGAATTAGTTTCTGTATTGTTGGTCATGTTTTGTTTTGCTTTTGTGCTATAGGCTATGTGGAGCCCCTGCAGACTTTGAATGAGGTGATAGCCCAGCTGGATGCAGTGGTCAGCTTTGCGGTGGTGTCCCATGCAGCCCCTGTGCCCTACGTGAGACCAAGGATACTGGAGAAAGGCAGTGGCAGATTGATCCTGAAAGGGGCACGACATCCTTGTGTAGAGGCTCAGGATGATGTGGCCTTCATCCCCAATGACGTAACCTTCACTAGAGGAGAACAGATGTTCCACATTATTACAGGTTCACCATAACTGGAAAATTCAATTTCATGGTTCATTGGAACTGATTAATAGGATAGTGCGGCCTTTGATATGGGACATTGTAGGATGTTGTAGGCATGATATACAACAATCAAAGTTATGGAAATGGTATCTGGTATATAAATATCTACAAATCTAGTCTATTGATAATGTTTTTTTTCTTCTATATCGTTTTGCTATTTCTTGCAGGCCCAAATATGGGTGGGAAATCCACATACATCCGTCAGGTGGGTGTGATCGTACTAATGGCACAGATTGGCTGCTTTGTGCCATGTGATGAGGCGGAGCTGAGTGTAGTGGACTGTGTGCTGGCCCGTGTGGGTGCAGGGGACAGCCAGATAAAAGGAGTATCCACCTTTATGGCGGAGATGCTAGAGACAGCAGCTATCTTGCGGTCAGTACCAGAGTGCGCAGAGTGCTGGTCCCTAAGACTTATTAATAACTATAATAACCCTCAGAAATACATACAGTGGTGGGTTAAATACCTAAATTGAGCATGTTCTTTTAATTGTGAGGACACTTTTTCAGTCAATGATCAAATGTATTGTTAGGCATTGTTAGGTCTGATCCTGATTTTTATTTTTCCCACCTCTCTTTTTTTGATTGTCAGTTCTGCCACTGAGGACTCTCTGATCATTATTGATGAGTTAGGCCGTGGCACCTCCACATATGATGGCTTTGGTTTGGCTTGGGCCATCTCTGAGTACATTGCCACACGTCTCAAATCCTTCTGCCTTTTTGCCACTCACTTCCATGAGCTGACTGCTCTGGCACAGCAAGTACCTACGGTCTGCAACCTCCATGTCACGGCACTGACTACTGACAGCACTCTCACTATGCTTTACAGGGTGAGAAAGGGTGAGTTGCATTTGTTTCTGATGTACAGCTAAAGTGTAATTTTTAAAAATTCCAGCACAAAACAGTCATTGAGTGTTTTTATGTGAAATGGTGCATTGTAAAGAAGCTTGCCGACTCAGATTTCTTTACAGTGGTTGTGACCGGAACAATTTTTTTGCTGTAATGTCTACAGTGCAGATATTGCCATTTTATTTACTATCAAAAATGATCAGTGAACTTAGTTTTTGTTTGTAAAGCTGGAAAGAGTAAATAGTGGTCAATCTGAAAAGTTTTCTTTGGGTACTGTTTGTCTTTACAACACCCTGCATATACATCTTTGCCATGAATTAATTTTAAAAACTATGTTTTAGGCCAGAACTTAATCTGGCAGTGCATTTGAACCCATTTTGTGTAATATCTTTCTGCAAGGTAGCTTTGGATGAATGGTTCCTATCTTCAGCACTGTGAACAATTCTTAAGTTTCTCTAGAACAGAGCATATCATGTCAAACTACTCTGAATGACTTTGGATTTTGACCATTTAATTTTGCAAACATTTTGAAAAATCAGTGGAATTCCTTTTTAAGCAGACAGCACTTTATCAAATGTCTGCATCTTCTGATCCTGATCCATTACACTCCATCAGGTGTGTGTGACCAGAGCTTTGGGATTCATGTGGCAGAGTTAGCAAACTTTCCCAAACATGTAATTGCTAATGCACGGGAAAAGGCTCTGGAACTTGAGGAGTTCCAAGATATCTCCAGAGTAGATGAAGAAGGGGGAGATGCTGGACCTGAAGCCAAGAGACGCTGCGTGGAGAAACAGGTGGGCCATTTTGAGGTTTTTATTTGGTGTTCTCTCCAATTTGGTGAATGTCTTTGCTCTGCAAGAACTGAAAGTATGTTTCTCTCATGTCCATTTACTTTAAGGAAGGAGAGAAGATCATTGAGGCTTTCCTGGCTAAAGTGAAGTCGCTGCCAGTTGAGGGCATGACTGATGAAGCTATCAAGGCAGAGTTGCGCAAACTGAAGGCTGAAGTGGTGATCCAGAACAACAGCTTCGTTAATGAGATTGTGGCCCGAGCTGAGAATGTGAAAATGGTTTCAGTGTGAGAGGACTGTGCAGAGGTTTATGATGTGAAATAGATTTCCACTTCTTTGTGAAACAACCTATGATGAATATTATATATTTTACAACTATGTTCTTTTCTGTTTTCCCCTATTATCTATGCACCTGTCTCTATTATGTCTTTTTCATTATTCTGTTTTTTGTAGTAAACTTTTTCTTTCTATTTGCATTACGTTGTTATCTTCTTCCAGCTGCCATCCTGTTTACCAGATCATTTGACATTCATTACAGTAGTGCCATATTGTAGAACACAATTGTTCTGATTGAAATTTTGCCATCTAGTGGATGAAAAAAATCACATGGCAGAGAACTGAAAGTGACCTTTGAAATGCGTTTAGTATCTTGCCTTTTTTCCATCAGAGACATACTTTTTATTACAGATACAGTTATGTCAAACTGCTTGGTCCCCAGTTTCCTGCAAATGTGTCCAAATTGGCTCATTGTTATCACAGACTAAAATCCACTTTAAAAAGATTTTAAAATTGGCTACCAAAGCGAAGTGGTGCTGCAGGACTTGTTTCCTCTGGTATATGTCTGTTTTTGATCATATACGTTTTGCAGTTACTCATTATTTCAGTACATACATTTTTATCTTGGACAGTTAATACCACATACAACCAGACCTGTTCTAACTAGGACTACATTCATGTACCAGAACAGGCATTAAAGTAAATGACCTAAACATTATGTTATGGATTTACCAATATACACTTGATGCAACAAACCAGTGCATTTGTTAGTAACTTTAACTTCATTAAATGTATTGACTTTGTCTTGAAGTCAATACAATGAAAATGAATCTTCATGGAAAGTGTAATTTAGTTTTGTTCCAAGCTACGTCTAATTCATATAGTCTGACCTTTAGAATTATATCCAGCCCTTAAAGCGTTAATGACATTTTGACGAACGCAATCATTTGTAATAAAGTAGATTTTGGTTATCAAATATAAATTTAAGTGTGTATTCATTAATGTATGCATGTGTGCGTTCATTTAGTATATTCACTTTATCCAGCCCATTAACGTTTTAAAGACGTTTTTCAACGAAACCCATCAAAGCCTATAAATTAATAATTAGATTATGGTTAAAAGAGTCTCGTTCAGTAACGTATGTTTATTCTATGTATTCGCTATGTTACAGTACTCAGAGCTAAAACCGTGTTAAGTAAACCCTTCCTTGTGTTGATCTCAGTAACGAGCAGTAGACAGAGACCGACAAGCTGCATTATCGTTTGTAAAGTAAGGGCCCTCTGCTTAGGTTTCCATGCCATTGGTGAACAGGGATCCCTTGTGATTTCCCCCCCTTTCCTTTCGTTCGTGTCCCCGTGTGCGTTAATGGCTCCTCCTGCAAGAGAGAGACGGAGCTTGCACCGAAGAGCACAGGGGGGAGCTGTCCGCGAATACCCCAAAAAAAGCCCAGCTCACACAGAGTTGGCGTTATTTTAAGTGTTTACAGCGGCGAGTAGATTTATTTGAAAACTAGGGACCCTATGTTAACGCACGAAAGACGACGTTCGAGGGAAGCGTTGTAATTTTTTGGAGGAAAAAAAATTCTACTCGCCAAATGAACTCCGTCAGAGCGACCAGCAGAAGACCAAGGAGAGTGAGGCCGCGCCCGGTGCAGCCGGAAAGGAACAACGGTGAAAGAGGTGAGCTGGGGCGCGAATAACACGGAACGCGCATCTGGTTATTTTCCGTCTGTTTAATTCGTGTCGTTTGGCGTGCCGTGCGAGGGGCCGTCTGTTCCAGAGCCGCGAGGACTGAGCAGCTTCCACAGGAAACGTCGAGGCTCGGAGACGGTGGGCATGCAGGGCCAGGCCGCGCTTTGTTTGGCTTCATTGGCCACAAATATGGAGTAGCCTGTCGGCTAACTCTGTAATCAGCGCTAACACTCCGAGCCAGAGAAACCGTGCTGTTAATACATCCTCGGGTAAATACATCACATATTGAAATACTTCAGCTCAACTGTTTCTTGGAGGGCTGTTTTTGTTGGGAAACGAGGATAATTAAAGCGCGTATATGGGCATTAAACGTGCGTTGCGCAGCTGGTTAGCTAGCCAGTGGGCTGCCATTTTGGGGGGTGTAGTTAGTAGAATTGAAATTAGCTTGGCTAACGCTAGCTGATTTGCTAGCTAGCACCAGGGTAGTTTTGGCAAGCAAACAAACAAAACAGCTAGGTGTGTTATCACGGGACGTTTTATAGTGTCCCTACGGGCACACTTTGTTTAGCTGAATTAATGAGTGTCAGTAGTTTTTAAGTTAATTCTTACCACTAACTGTGTGTGTTTACTCGGGGGCAGGATTTGCTAACAGTAGCTAGCCGAGTTACCAGCTAGCTGGTTGCCAGCTAGTTAAGCTACGCAGTTGAGTTCATGCCGAGTCGAGTGTGGAGAAAACCATCATTTTTCGTATTTAACTTGAATTATTTTTGGGTTAATTCTCAGGCCCATCCGTGTTGTTTGCTGTTAACGTGTAGATGGTATGTGTCAACACTACGCGTCGGGTAACGTTAAATTAGCTAGACGTCTCAGTCGACAAGGCCTACCTTGGGCTCCCTGCAGCCACAGATCAACGTTACATTATGTGTCTGTGGTAGCTTGATTAAGTAGAAGCCGTTGTCGTCGCCTTTTCAGCCAGCAGTCTATATTATACGTATTTTCTTGCTCCAGTCGTTAGTTGGTTTTGGAGCAAAAATTTGTACATTGCTGGTTAGGTCTTTGTGCTCATTGATATCAGACATTTTGACCCTTAATTGTCTAAAAGTGATGTGATTTACTTGGTCGCCCATTTGTCTGACAATGGTAGCAGCAGTAATGCGTAGTCCGTAAACATTAAATAATGTCCAACTGTTTTTTCATCCTATTCCAGAAATCTTCATCACGGGTTATTTGGCTTGATAGAAAAAGGGAGGGGAAGAGTTTTAAGTACAGGAAGGCTCATTCAGGAGTTAAGAACATCCGATATGTAATACCCTTTATCTCACCCTGTAAATTAAGTAGAACAGGTGTGATCTAGCTTTGGGCAGTGTTTAAATCGTGCAGCTGATGTTATTGTACCATGTTTGAAAATGTATATGGGTGTGTTGTATTGCAGGGGTGTATCGTAGTATTGGCTGATATGATTGTGACTTCGCTAGTGTACAAGGAGTGTCCTTATCAGTATAACTATTTTTGTCACACTCTTGTAAGAAAGTGCAGAACTGCACGCTTGTAGTTTTTGGGGGTAGGGGCAGTCACATCTAATTGCGTATTTTGAACTGCATAAATATATGGATATACCTATTTAAATAAATTACCACATTCTGGTAGCATCTATCCACTCAGACCAGATTATGTAGCAAAGTAAGGCGTGATTTGATTTGAGTGTGACTGTGGTCAGGAAACTGACTTATTGTGCTGCTGCCTGACATCAGATTGCTCATGAAAGATGACTTTATCATAGAAACTTCAGACTGACCTGCTGGTATCACAAGACCTATATAAACGTGGCTACTGCTGGAACATTATATGGATTTTCTACCTACTTGCTGTGCCCTTAGGGCCATTGATATTGTCAGCTGTCAGTGAGACCAGTAAAACTGTAGGTTACACAAGCCATTTCCAGAGACAGCAAAGAGACTAGATTCAGTTGATGCTGAGCTATAGATAAACGCTATTATCTATTGATTTTATTCATCTTTGACTTTTGGATGTTGTCTCCAGGTACGGGTTGTGCTGTAGGGAAGACAGACCGTAGGCCTTTCAGGTACTGACAGGTAGGTAGGGTAAGGACACATGGAGGTGTTGAGTCAGGACTGCCAGATAGAAGAACATGGATAATGCTTTCTCCACAAGATAACATGATCTCCTTTGAAGTTTTTTCTGCAGTTTGCAATTCTTTGATGTTTTTAACAGAATCGTCACAATGTAGTAGGAGAAAATAATGAGTAGATTTGTTGACGTTACTTTTAAATTCTAGGTGACCGTTTGCAGAACATGACTTCCACCATCGCTATTAAAACGGTGTTATCATTTCTCCTTTGCATTTAGTACAGTCATTTAGGCCTAGTTTTCGTTTAAGTTCTCAGATGGTTTTCCTGTGAGCATGTATCTATTTTTACATGCCTGTCCTGCTCTGTTACCACTAATCCAGTTATGACTTTTTTTGTGAGCTTCTTTTGAGCTCTGAGGTATGCTGCACCATTTTTACAGAAGAACAGAATTGTAAGATTCTAATTTCGATAAGCCGTCCCTCTCTGTCTGCCAGACTGTGTATTTCTCTTTGCACCTCTCCCTCTCTCACTTCATCTAGGTACTGTTTTCTGCAATACGCTGGGAAAGGGGAAAATACCAGACGTATACAGCAAAATCAGACATCATAGGTGCTAATGTGTGTTGATAAATGCTGATAGTTTTTGTTCTCTCTCCGTTTCCCCCTCTGTACAGATGAGGACATCCCTGCAGATATGGTTGCAGAAGAATCTGGTCCAGGAGCTCAAAACAGTCCATACCAACTTCGTAGAAAGTCCTTGTTGCCTAAGAGAACTGCGTGTCCCACAAAAAGCAGTATGGAGGTAAGATTTTCATTTTTTAAAACTCCAATCACAGAAAAAAATAAATCTCTGTTTTTGTTCTTTTGGACATTGTTTACGTAATATCTAACGATGTTGTTCATGTTTGCAGGGAGCCTCCACATCAGCTACAGAAAATTTTGGCCACAGAGCAAAACGTGCTAGAGTGTCCGGAAAGTCCCAAGACCTTCCAGGTGAGTGAGGAAACTTGTTCAGATGTGCTAATGATTACGCTGAACATATGCATGAACACTTACACCAAAGAAATGCTAAACAAACACTTTAGTGCTCATCAATTTTTGTTTACTATGGGGAGCTAGTAGGTTGGATGTTCCTCTACATTCAGAGTTTGAGTTGAATCTATATGTGAAAAAATTCCTATATTTGCTGGCTTTAATATGTTGTCTTAATGTTTGATATGGTTGTCATTGCTTGAAAAAATGTAACCAGAACCAAAGTACCAGGAATTAAATAACTATGACCCAGTAGGTACATAGCATTTCCTTTTTGGTCAGTGTTCTGTCGTAGCATGTACACTGTCATTATACCTGGTACAGTTGTAGTTTGTGTTTAACCTTTTATCTCCCAAGCACTTAAAGCAGAGCTAAATAAAAAAGGGCA